CAGAACTTATATTAAATGAAAAATAAATACACAATACTAGAAGAATAGTTTAACATTAAATTACTGCTTAACTCACTTGTCTGTGTAGCGAATATGAAGAAGATGCTGTAACTTTTCCATTTTTAAGCTGATAAACCACAGTACAGTCGTGACAATTTTCTGCACTCCTGATTGTTTCTATGTGTGCACGATCTGTACCTTATGTGCGAGCTTGTGTGTTGTGTGTGTGCGTGCAGTGTAGCAACACATTAGTTTAGAGCAGAGATTAGCTGCCTGTACAATAAACTGTTTAAAACGTGAATTCACCCAATCAATTTTGACTATCCACATGCTACAAACAATAGTTTGAGGCAACAGTGTCACCAAATCTGTAGCAATGAAAATCACCAACATGCTTAAAAACTTTGTAAATAAATGTTATTGCACTTATTTTCAAATAATTTATTTTAAAAATGTAATTCACTGTCATTTCTCTTTTTTTTCATCAATTTAATGCATCCTTGAACATTTACATTTACTTTTAGTCATTTTGCAGACGCTTTTATCCAAAGCGACTTACAATGAGGGAATACATAAAGCGATTTTTCTTAAAGAGGCAAACAGACACAGGAAGTGCTTGTAATACCAAGTTTTAGGCATTGTTCAAATAAGTACAAGAAAGGGAAGGAAGGAATAAAGAGAAAGACAAAGTTTTTTTTTTTTAAATTTAGGATGAAGTCAGTTGAATTGAAGTATTGAATTAAAGTAATTTCTTAAAAAAAGCAATGATGATACATTTGAATGCTACTGTAATTATAATAACAGGCCTCATTATAAACACAAAATAATAATCAACTTAAATAGTCAGTGAAGACAATTAGACTATGTTTTATTTGATGGGGGCAGTGAGGGACCTGAATAATGTGCAGGCGGGCACTGGCCCAAAAAAGGTTGAGAACCACTGTTCTAGGTGCTCAAGTCGTAGTATTATAACTGAAACTGCTTAGCTTATAATTGTTTCCCCCCCCCAAAAAAAGGTGTTTTCCATGCCTGTTAAAGTAATGGAATTTCTTTATGAATAAATATATATTTTAATAATATTCTAATATATATTTATTAATATTTTCTGTGTTTTTTTCTTATGCTCAGCTCTCAAATATAGGCTACCATATGGCCAAAAATATGTGGACATCCATCTAATAAATTTCAATGAATCAGTGATTGAATAATATATGAATAAATTATTCATTAGTGGTTCTGTCTGTATTTCAATATTTATTTATTTCAAATGTTTACCCAGTTGACTAAAACGTTTTGCTACATTAAGTTATGAAATTAAGTTATGAAATCGTTATTTCTAAATTTTCTCTGAACGTTCAAATTCAAAACATACAGTTTTTAAATGTAAAAAAAAAATCTTTTAATTTTAGATTTTTATAAACATTTGGGAATGTCACTTTTGAAAGTTCTTTGAACCATCTGAAACTAATAAGTAGTAACATTTAAAAACGTTAGACAAACATCCAACTAAACTCTTTCAGAAAAAACGTTCTATAAACAATGTATGCATAGTTTTGTGCTAATATTAATAAAGACCAGATCATTTTGAGTGAATGTTCTATTAACGTTACTGGAAGAATGTTTGTTCATAACTCTGAGAGAACCAGAATGTTAGCCAAAGTTCTGAGAATGTTTCATGTTAGCTGGGTGTACTGTAATTACAAATCATGGGAAAGTCACTGATCAAAAAATGTGGGAAATTTTGACCTGCAATTAGTTACGCAACTAGTGTAAAGCGCTTGATTCAGCTGTCAACTCGTTATCAAGTTTATTATTATGATTATGGACTCATATGTTAATGTAATCCCTAGGCTGTGGTAAATTAGTTATCTTGAGTAAACTGCTCCAGTTACAATACAAGCATTGACAGAAGTCAAGTCTTCTTATCAGTCCAGCAGCTCATATGGTGAAGAATGAAGAAATAAGCTGAATTGATTTTCCGTAGAAGAGTGATAATTGGTTTGTGGAAAATTAGAATTTTGTTATTAATTCTATTTCCACATTTTATTACTGTAATATACTATAAGGGCCATTGCATGTCAAATGTATTTTGTAGCTGGTATATCAAGTCAAGTCAAGTCAAGTCAAGTCTGCTTTATTGTCAATTCTTCCACATGTACAGCACATACACAGAGAATTGAAATTGCATTACTCTCAGACCCTTGGTGCATACAGATAACACTAACAGTAGAACATAAATACAGATATACAGATTAAATATAAAATACAACTATACAAATATACAAATAAGGTAAAATGTAAAAAAAATATATATATAAAAAAAATATATATATATATAAAGCAGCACACGGCAGATAGAGTGCAAACCAGTGAAGTAAACAACAGTGCAGATATAATGATTTGTAATGCAAAAAGAGCTTATTTAGACTGATTTAAAGTGACTTTGGCAATGAATGTTTGTGGCTTACCCTCCTTGTGAAGGGTGTCAATGATTGTCTTCTGGACAACTGTCAGATCAGCAGTCTTCCCCATGATTGTGTAGCCTAGTGAACCAAACTGAGAGACCATTTTGAAGGCTCAGGAAACCTTTGCAGGTGTTTTGAGTTGATTAGCTGATTGGCATGTCACCATATTCTAATTTGTTGAGATGAGTGAATTGGTGGGTTTTTGTTAAATGTGAGCCAAATTCATCACAATTAAAAGAACCAAAGACTTAAACTACTTCAGTCTGTGTGCATTGAATTTATTTAATACACGAGTTTCACAATTTGAGTTGAATTACTGAAATAAATGAACTTTTCCATGACATTCTAATTTATTGAGATGCACCTGTATACCCCAGCGACTTAAGACTGGTTTTGTGGTCCAGGGTCACATATTTGATACCTTAGTAACAGTAGGTAGAATTTAACAATCTCAGGTGATTCTACATCTGAATCATACATTACATAATGAATCATTAAGTCTCATACAGCTCTCTTGACAGTAATGCTTTAACGCCAATGTGTCATCACATTTGCATACCCCGTTGACTAATGTGAGTAATGTTAACTACTCAGCAGGATGTTTGGGCAGTTCATGTGAGGGGTGAGTCAGATACACAATCTGTGGCTACTTCCTCATGTTCAAAATCAGATTTTGGGAATGGACTGAATTGAATGGAACTGTAAGAATATTTGGAGTATTTTCTATTTTATTTTACTAAATGTTCTAAGCTATCGGTCAGGTTTCTACCAATCAGTCCTCAGTTCCACTATCTGTAGGGGGCAGCATCCTCAAATACTGTGTATAACAGCACATGAAAACATAAGACATTTAATTTAAATGCAAACAGACACCACAATTTACATATGAAAGGAATTTATTGTGTCCAATATAAAAAAATAAATGTTTCACCAGTTCAAAAAAAAAATAAAAAAATCCAGTCACAGTGGAAGGACTAAAACACATTTTTACTTCCACTTCACGTGGAGAAAAAACTGATTCTAAATTTTGCACTACATCAGAAAATGGCATCACTAAACATCTCAATTGTATATTTGTATCAGTATTAGATAGCTTTAGCGTATCTATGATCCTTTAGGTTAAACTAAAGATAAGCCCAAGAACTCTTTACATTTAACAATTTTAAATTTACTTTTTGCAGATGGTATAAAATGAATAAATAAATAGCCACTGAATGTGGAATGTTTGTATTGCATGAATAAATAAGATACATGGAAGAAAATGTACATAAATACAATACAAAAACAAAAGTCCCCCCAAAAAAATAAGGAAAGATAAGTGAGTCCATGAATATTGCATTGATTATGCACATCACTCAAGTCTCTGCTAAGCAAAGTCTAAAAAGTGATGTCAACAGAGATGAAGTAGTGGAAGACATTCAGAAAACAACAACAGAAGGGAAAACCACTGAAATAGTGAATATGAATGGCAGAGCAGCAGAGATACTGTTAAGAGAGTACCAAGTGTGTACTTCAAGCATTCGACCACTAGAGGGCAAGGGAGACCCACCACATAACTAGATACAGTCTTTGAAGGTTCCCATGAATCCAGGGGAGTTCCCCTCAAATCCATGAAAATCCACCTGGTGTCTGTCGTGACTTGAATCCCATAAAAGCAGCTTTCCAAAAAAAGGCACCGAAAACTAAAAAGATAGTCTAAAAGGAAAATAATGTCCAAGCTCTATAAGAGCAACCAGTAAGATCAAAGGATCACTAGCATTGCTGCTCACGCAATCCCTACGGATAACAACTCACCCTTAGCAAGAAAAACAACAACAAAAAAAGACATTTATGCAACATAAACCGAAGTCCTGTTAACCAACAGACTGGGAACAAGAGCAAAAAGGTCTCAGAGTCCATTCACTCGCCGTCCCCGCATCCGTCAAAGGCTTTCTTTGCCCGATTCTGTGCTGATGGCGTGAAGTGTGATGTCGCTGCTTTCTGCTTTCAGGCTTTCCTCCATGCGCATCCACTGATGCTCGAAGATCTGCTCCAAAGTGGGCCGGTCGGAGGGTCTCAAGCAGAGGCACCATTTGATGAGCTGCTGACACACTTGATAAACGGAAAGAAAAAAGACAGAAAGGTTAAACTTATCATCCACAAAAGGGTTTAAAAATGAAAGTCTGGACTGTTTACATTAACCAATTTCACTTTTTGCAAGGCAAAAGTAAATGTTAACAAAAATATAAATTAGAAATAAATATATTGTTTAATGGCATTTTTTCCCTTCCTTTTATGATATGGCATGGCGAGCCAAAATATTATGGGTCAATTTTGGCCCCTGGTTTGGGGTATCTCTGGTTCAGAACATACCTGGAGAGACTCTTCTCCTGAAAAAGAGCCGTCCTCTCAGAATCTCCTCATCATGCTCAAACGGGATGTCGCCGCACACCATGTCGTACAGTAGGACGCCAAGGGACCAAATGGTTGCCGAGCGTCCGTGGTATCGGTGGTAACGTATCCACTCGGGAGGACTGTACACTCGCGTGCCTACAAAATAAAACATTTGGTTTTCAATCCAGTGAGAATTAACCTTTGAGACTTGCAAAACATCTATTTGCGAGCCAAGAGCATGAAGATTGCACTTTTTTTTGGTCCTGAAACCTACTCTGTGATTTTTATTTCTGGCACGACACAACACTCGTTTCATAATCGCCATGTTTTGGCGTAAAAAGCGCCGATTTTGATTACACTGCAGCATTGTATAATGAGCCGCTCCAGTCTGCTGACTCTAGCAAGGGGGGCACCAGCGGTCTGGCATTCGCACAAACTCTCCTCCCTCCTTCAGCCTCACTGTGAGCCGGAGAACGGCTCGATCCAAAAATACAAGCAAGCTGAAACAGGAGGGCGATCTAAAAGGGAGACTTTCAGGTACAAACAGTCACAAGCTATGGCAACTCCACATGCTTCCAGCATGAGTCACTTCCCCAAACAAAAGCCCCTTCACTAGGGGTGGTGTGACAGGCCCCCAAAGGCTAGGAGTCGCCTGGATACCAAACAAAAACAGGGATCAGTGATGGGATCACGTGGTGCCGCAACTCAGGTTTCACAACAAACAGATGCTACGCAGTAACAGCTGATCCTTTCCACTAACTTATCTCTCAGATTCGATGGGATAAGGTAACATTAAATGAGTTTAAAAATGCAATTCTTCAAACATAAAAACAAATGTACAGGTATGAAGTTTATAAGGCAACCTGTGAGGATTGGATCCTACTGAAAAAAAAACATCTTTATATATAGAAATTGTTGTGAACAAGGTGAAAAATGTTGTTTTTCCAGTTAAAATGTAAAAAAAAAAAAAAAAAAACTGTTTGCTGGTCTAAGATAGTCTTAACAGGTTAAAGACGGTCTTTTAGCCTTGCGAAGAAAGTTTCCAGCTGATTTTCCTAAAACAAGTGCCTAAAACCTTTTGAAACCAAGCCAGACCAGATAAAACCATCAAAGCTGTTTTTCAGCAGAGGTGAGACACTCGATTCAGACACTTAATTTTCTTTAACTCTAGGGCTAATTATTGAGTGTAATTATTTTTTTTCCAAGTCAGGATCTGACACTTTCCATACAAATTCTTTTTTTAAAAGAATTCTCGTTTTACTAGAAGCGGCAGGTGCGCCAATGCAGAGCAGGATGGGTAAGAGTCAAGGACGCACCATCAAAGTCTGTGTAGACGGTGTCCTTGAGGATGGCCCCGGAGCCGAAGTCAATGAGCTTGAGATCTCCTGTGCGTAAATCCACCAGGAGGTTCTCGTCTTTGATATCCCGATGAACCACCCCGCAGCTGTAGCAGTGCCGCACCGCCTCCAAAACCAGTCTGAAGAAGCGCCTGGCGGTGTCCTCGTCCAGCGCGCCTTTCTCCGTGATGAAGTCAAATAAATCCTTCACCATCTCCGGCCGCTCCATTATAATCAACCAGCCGTCGGCTCTCTCATACCAATCGATGAGTTTAATGACCCCCTGAAACGTACTCCCGACTTTCTTCAACAAAACGATCTCGAGTGGAACCAGCGAGCCGTTCTGGAATATAAACACGCGTTTTAGAAACAACCTAGCGTTGATAAGAAAAATAACACATAAATAAAGGCTTGTTTACTTACAATGGTACCCCATTCGGTCACCCTCTCCTTAGAGACGTGTTTTATCGCAACCTAGAGACAAAAAGAGAAAAACGCGCATATGAATGTGTGACTGCGGCGCCAAACGCGGCCATGTGCTGCCACCAAAACAAAGCCAGCGCTTACCGGCAACGCGTCTGAGAGCCGAGAACCGGCGTACACCGTCCCAAACCCGCCGCTTCCTAGCACCGAGCCCACTTCATAAACCTTGTCAAACGGCTCCCTTTCGGTCTTGGCTGTAAAACGAAGGAGAAAAAGCAGTATGAGTTAGTGTGTTGGTATAAAAACGCGATTTAAACCGAATGTGTACAATGCACGGTTGGAAACAAAATGGCTCCATACGCAGGTCACGGACAGGCGCGTGCCGATTAAGCGGCTGGATACATCGCGTGTGGAAAATTAGGAGTAAGTTAAATAACGGAGGAAGGACACGCAATTAAATGCGAAGTGAAAAATGTATATCGTTATTATGATATTGAAGAACGACGTCTGTTACCTGCTTGAAGTTGAATTTTCACCGGCAAGTGGTCGATGTTGGTCGTGTTGCAAATATGAGAAAAAGATCCAAACTTGGACAGTAACATGTTTTGTCGCCTTCTCAAAACGATTCTCAGTCCTTGCGATGCGTAACTGTGCTTCGAACCGGAAAACACCGGCACTCCGTCCTTCACCGAGAACAGCGGATTCTCTTCAAAAATGTATTTAGGAGTGGGACTCCGCGCGAAAATCCCACGAACGATCGCAAAACGATTTCGACTCCTCGTCTACAAAGGTGTCAAACTCCGGTAATTATTCACAAATGTCCCCGCGCACCCATAGTGAGAGAGAACTGCACACGTTCGCGCTTTTGGGTCTGCTCGGTTGATGTGTCTGCGTGAGAGAGAGCGGTGAGAGACCGTATTAACTCTTAATTCTCGTGTTTGGGCGCTGGACGCGTTGCACAGATCCCTCCGCGACGGATAGACGCACTACTATCAAATTAAAAACAAACGCACTTCTCAAAATTCTTTAGCGTTTCAAGAAGAAAGAAATACTGCGTGATAAAACGTAGAATTACACTGTAAATGTATAAGCATTCATCAGTAGTGATAAATAGTGGTTTGGTGAATAGTGCGACTTGCGAGACGCCCATGGATACCTCCTCTGAGAGATTTGCGCTTTGGCTATATAACAAGACCAACCACGTTGCACAGTTTATATAATTGCGCTGTGACTAATTGGAGTAATATTGCTGGGTTGTGCCTGTCTAATAATAGTAATAATAATAATAATAACTATAATAATAATAATGCGGTTTTAGCAACGACAACAATTAGTAATTATAACAATAATAAATATCAATAAAGTTTATTATTGTTATTATTGTTGTTGTTGAAGGAATATGTAATTGCTAGACTGCGCCTGAAAAAAATAAATGTATAATTTTATAAAAAAAAAAAAAAAAAAAAAAAAAAAA